TTAACTACGCTTGCGTCTTAGTGGAATTCAGGCCCCTCTCATCCTCCTAACCTGGAGTCCTTTTCTTTTCATTTTTTTAAAGAGACAGATTCTTACTCTGTCCCCCAGGCAGGAACACAGTGGTGTGATCATGGCTCACTGCAGCTTAAAACTCCTGGGCTCAAGTGATCCTCTCACTTCAGCCTCCTGAGTAGCTGGGACCAAAGGCACATGCCATCATGCACAACTAATTTTTTATTTTTTTTGTAGAGGCAGGATCTCACTATGTTGCCCAGGCTAGTCTTGAACTCCTGGCTCAAGCGATCCTCCCACTTCAGCCTCTCAAAGTGCTGGGATTTCAAGCTTAAGCCACTGTGCCCGGCTACCTGGTAGCTTTTCATTAGTTTTATGAAGGTGGCTTAGTTTTGGGGAAGGGCTATTATAATTTAAACTATAAATTAAATGTATCCCAAAGTTAGCTTGGCTCAAGCCCAGGAACGACCAAGGGCATTCTGGAGGTTCGAGGCAAGATGAGGGTTGGTGAGATCAAATCTCTCTCAGTGTCATAACTTTCTGTTATAATTTTTGCAAAGGAGGTCTCAATGGTACTTGGAGTCCCCATAAATCTCTTGGTCAGTGGCCCAAATGCTAAGAAAAATGTCATGTTGCTCCTGGAACATTGCCATGCCTTGGGAGTTGCTCCAAGCGAAACCATTCGAAGGGACAGGTGAATTACAGAAACTGCTCTTCAGACACCTTCAAGTCTATGCTCTGATTCTGGTTTAGAATCCTTTGGGAACATCTTGGTTTTTCTATCAATACAATGGGGATATGCTGGGGGCCTCTCCTCCAGGCCCCTGCAGCGACTGGTACCAGCTAGCATACCATGATGTTCCGTTCACATCTCTTTCCTTGCAGACTTTGGGATCCCTGAGGTCAGGGACTGTCTCCTTCACTGTAGTGTCCAAACTCCTGGCACTCAATAGTGAATGCACGAACAAGTAAATGAACATATGGCAGTCAACTGGGTAGTAGTTTCCTGGTCTTGACTGACTTGCAAGAGCAAATGGTTAAATATTCAGGGATTTTAAGCCGGGCATGGTGGCGCATGCCTGTATTCGCAGCTACCTGGAAAGCTGAAGCAGGAGGATTCTCTGAGCCCAGGAGTTCGACGCTAGCCTGAGCAACATAGTGAGACCCCGTATCTAAAAAACAAAATTCAGAGATTTTGCAAGCCTATTGTTAAATTATCAGTAACTTGAAATTGACTATGGTAGGAGTATTTACACACAGAAATTGGCAACTGCTGCAGATTAGGACTTCCTCCCCTCCTGCCCTTTTCAGAGAACTTGTTTACCGGCTCACCACTGGCTCGCACTTACTGTGTCAGGCAGTTTTAAGCACCTTCCGTATATGAATCTGCATTTAACCCTTACAATGTTACATATATGAATCTGCATTTAACCTTCACAATCACCTTACATATATGAATCACCTTACGTATATGAATCTGCATTTAACCCTCACAATGTTACTGCCACTTTGCAGATGGGGAAACTGAGGATGAGAGAGGTTAACTTGCCCAAGTATCGTTTCATAGCCCTCTTTGACAGGAAGGTGGGAGAGTCAAGTGAAGACCGTCTTGGCTATCTCTGGGCTCAGCTGCCCTTTGTGGCTTCACAGGACCAGCTATATGAATTGCAGCCACCACTTTTAATCAGCTCCTCCGGGAGGAGGTCCTCTGGGAGAAAAGACGCAGTTGCCTGGTGACTAAAGTGTTTCCCAGTGCTCCAAAAGTCATGCTGTGTTATTGTGGGGGATAAAGCTCGCCCCCCCACGGGGTGCCCCTCTTCCAGGGCTCTAGATAAAAAAAATCCATTGAGCCCTGGCCAGACCCCATGCAAAGCTGCAGACCTCATTCTTGCTTCTTGCTTTGTTGACGCCTGCAGAGCCACTGGTAGGTTTGAATGAAAGCCATGACATCCTGGAACAGGCAGCGGCTGGCTTTGTGTGGAGGGCACACTGCGATGTGCGCATCATTGCCAGAGGAGGGCAGAGCCCGGGCAGATGGTGGGTGCCACTGCAGAGGCCCACATAGAGACATCTGTCCACCAAGAATTTGGCTTTGCTGTATCCCTTTGGGACCACAGTTGGGGACAGTCCTGGACTTCCTGAAGCTCAGCTTTAGGGATGACAGAGTCTCTCCAGGGGCCCATTCTGGTTTGAACATCCCATCTGTCTGTGGGCTTCATCACATCAACCCTTGTTTACCCATCAGATTTGTTACTACCCCTATGTCTGTCTCCTCACCCCACCAGGAGTTCCTCAGGAGTAAAAGTGGCATCTTATTCCTGGCTGTGGCTCCAGGACCCAGCCAGAGCCCTGAACATAGTAGGTGCTCAATAAATGTGCAATGAATAAATGATTGAATGAATGCATAAATTGTGCCTTGGTTTTTTCTGCCTTCGTGCTGCTCCAAGGATCTCCTGATTACTTCTCCAAGCCCTGCAATTAGGAATAAATCCTCCTGTGTCATCCTACCAAGACTTCCTCCTTCCCAGCTCCCTGCTGGCTGGTGATGGTGGCTTGTTTGGCTGTGGACCCAGGAGAGGGGATGAGGACTTTAAGAAGGCCTCCCTGAGGATGTGAGTTTCCACTGAGGTCTGAAGAGGAAGCGGGAGTGGAAGAGAGTTTCAGGCAAAAGGAACAAGTACAAGTGCTTGTCTAGTAGCTAACAGCGGTCAGTGGGTCAGCGTAGACAGGTGATCTGGTAGGACAGACTCCCTTCATCCTAGATACCAGGAGCTTCCTCAAGATTACCAAGGGACAGTGTGAAGCCATGTGCCCCTCTCCTTGTCCCAGGGCTTTTGTCCCCACTGGAGCAACTGTGCCAAGCAGGAGGGGCTGATGTCCAGAGAATGCCACTTCCTATCCCCTACATCCGACAGTTCCATCATTTAATCCTTGACTAGTTTAATATAATAAAATTCCAGGAACTGACATTTTAAGTTGGAATAAAATTGCTCCCAGCAGCTGTTAAGTAATGGGCTGGCTCAGAGGCTCAGAACTCCCAGGGAGTACTGAGGCTCCTTTTCCTGATCCCAGAGGCCTGCCTGTTTCCAGAATCCTTCTAACCCGAAATGCAGTCCCTAGATCAGCTGTCCAGTCAGCTCAGACCAGTTGATGCCCCACAGACAACATCTTTCCACCTTGATCAGGTCTTGCACTGCCCTCTGGAGAGTGCTTTAAAATGCAGATTGCAGGTGCTGCCTTAGCTGCAGACAGGCAGCGTAACGGATTTTCCGTTTTAGAGACAGGGTCTCGCTTTGTTGCCTGGGCTGGAGTGCAGTGGTGCAATCATAGCTCACTGCAGCCTCTAACTACTGGGTTCAAGCGATCCTCCTGCCTCATCCTCCCAAGTAGCTGGGACTTCAGGCACACACCATTGTGCCCAGCTCATTTTCAAAAAGTTTTAATTTTTTGGTAAAGCCGAGGTCTTGCTATGTTGCCCAGGCTGGTCTCAAACTCCTGGGCTCAATCCTCCTATCTCAGCCTCCCAAAGTGGTGAGATTACAGACAGGAGCCACTGCACCTGGCCAAAAACTGGATTTGCAACCAGGAAGGGGCTGATTCTGCTGCTCTAGGAGGTTTTAGGACCAACCCCCACCCTCTACCTCGGGCTCTGAAAGTCACCTCCTGCCCCTGGAAGGGCTGTGACCCTTGGCTTAAGCCTGTAGTCTGCAGGAATGAACAGTAGTTCTCAGCAGCCCCCATCCCAGCAGCCTGTGAAACTGATGGAGGTAGGTCCACCCAAGTGCCCTCTGTGGGCACCGAAAAACTGCTGGCCCCTGCCCTGTCCCCCTTCTCCCCCAACATTTATCATAGAGCCTAACGTCCACAACAGACCTGATACCTGACAGTCATTGATGGTGGTGTTACTAAGCACTGTTACTAGAGCCTTCAGGAGTGCCTTGACCCTGATGTTCTGCCCTGGCTGTGTGCCTCTCCAGGGGACAAGATTCCACAGTGCCCACCAGCCTCTGTGGCCATGTGCTGTGTCCATGCCAGGCCCTTTGGTGGACATCTCATTAACTTCTCCTTATTTTAAGGAGGAGGAATCATGTTACACAAGCAACAGCATCGGCCCCAGTCACCCCACCTGGATGGAGAGCCAACCCCTTAAGCCATCTTAACCCAGAACTTCCCTAATGGGCGTGGGGACCACCAGCATTACCCTCTCTCCAGCAGTTTGTCCCAAATGCAGCCTTCTGGGCCCGCTTCTGCAGTTTTTTTTTTTTTGTTTTGTTTTTGTTTTTTGAGACAGAGTCTTGCTCCATTGCCCAGGCTGGAGTGCAGTGGCGAGATCTCAGTTCACTGCAACCTCTGCCTTCCAGGTGCAAGTGATTCTCCTGCCTTAGCCTCCGGAGTAGCTGGGATTACAGGAATATGCCACCAAGCCTGGCTAATTTTTGTATTTTTAGTAGAGACGGGGTTTCACCATGTTGGCCAAGCTGGTCTCGAACTCATGAGCTCAAGTGATCCGCCTGCCTTGGCCTCCCAAAGTGCTGGGATTACAGGCGTGAGCCACCGCGCCCAGCCCGCTCCTGCAGTTTGAGGTGCCCCTCAGCTGCCGGGCTGTGCAGGGCCCACAAGGGCCGCCACGTGGGTGTGTTCACCTCAGAAGGGTGCTGGGGCTTTCCTGGAATGAACGAAAGCGCATGGTGCACTTTCAAATAGGATTATAATTACTGTTGTTCTCCATAGATTTAATTCATGCTCGCTGACTTCCTTGACTATCTAGGTGAAGTTTCCCTCCTGAGATCTGGAGGATGTAAGGTGGGATGGGTTGGGTGTGGGCATAACACCTCCCAGGGGTCCCACCCCTCCTACCCACGCCCCCAACTTTGCTCACACCTGTTTCCTTCCAGATCCAGCAGGGGTGCGGAAGGGGCGAGGTATGTGGCCGCTGCTGCGCGGCTGGGAACCCAGAATGGTGGGCTCCAGGGTCCCCTTCCCGGCGGTTTCCTGACCGCGCAGTGCGCGAAACCGGCGTGCGCTAGGACCGCGGCGCGCCGCCCTCCGCCGTTATAAGAGGCCGCGCTCCGGCCCCACGCGGAACCCGGGGCTCCGAGCCTTCGCCGGCGTCCCGACCTGAGGCCAGCCGTGAGGCCAGTCCCGCGGCCAGTCCCGCCGCTGCGAAGCCGAGGCCAGTGCGGGGCCTGAGAGGGACGCGCGCCCCGGGGCCCCCGCCGCGGGTACCATGGGCGCTGCCCACTCCGCGTCCGAGGAGGTGCGGGAGCTCGAGGGCAAGACCGGCTGTGAGTACCTGCGGGGGGCGGCGCGGGGACCGGGGCGGGACCTCCGAACGGCCACTGTTGGGGGCCCCGGCCCGCCGCCGCGCTGTGTGACCTTGGGCCAGTGGCGGGCCCTCTCTGCGCCTCAGTCTCCTCCTCTTTCAAATGGGTCCCCGCCGGCCACTTCGCATACTAGGAGACAACCGGTGGCGGCGAGGACCTGCGCGACGATGCTTAGTGCCGCAGCCACTCAGCCTCGGACTGGCCCAGGAACTCCCTGGCCGGGGAACTGCGGACCGGGGAGGGAGCGGGGCCCAGGCTTCCCAAGCGCAGGGCAGGTGCCTCGGGCCGGGCGGGCAAGCGCCGCAGGCAGCCCGGCTGGTGCGCGCGCCCCGCACCTGAGAGTCGTGTGCATTCGGGAGCGCAGGAGCGGAAAGTTTTGAAGTCAGCGGACCCGGGTGGGAACCGGGCTCCGACGCTCCCCGGCCGGGTGACCTTAGGCAGGACAGCCGGCTCTCCGCGCCTGCTTTCGTCCTCGCATCTGTAAAATGGGTTCAGGCGGCCTCATCCCCGCGGGTGACTGGGAGGCTTTAGCTAGGCAGCGGCCGCAGAGCACTTTGCCCGGAGCCCGGCGTCCTCGCCTGAGTTCGCTGGGTCTCCAGGGGCCAGCAAAGGCTGCGCACCCCGCATCGGCCCGGGGGCGGGGCGCCCTGGGAGGCCGGGCCGAGCTGCCCGCTGGGAAATGGCGGAGAAAGCGCTTGTCCGCTGAGTTCAGCCGGGCTGGGGACTTGGCCCTGGGTCCTGACCTCTGCGTGGCCGGTTCTGCCTCCGTCTGTGGACCAGGGTGGGGACTGGAGACCGCGGGGGCCAGGTGTGGGGACAAACCGGCTTTGGCGAGGGACAGACCGGCTGTGAACCCTGCCAGCTCCACTTCCTGGCTGTGTGACCTTGGGCTAGTCACTTTACCTCTCTGATTCTCAGCTTTCCTTCTCTGTTGTAATAGTTCTCCTAGTACCTGGTAGACGCTCAGGAAATGGGAGCTGCAGATATTTTGGGAAAGAGCTAGCTCCTGGCATCTGCTTCAAGTGCAGAGAACCAGCGTCCATTATTGATCACCAAGAGAGGATGGCCCAGCTGTTTGTGTGTCAGCTGAAAAGCAACCCCTCTTGACCCCCTGATCTAAATACCCCTGTCCAGGAGAACTGGATGAAAATTGCAGAAAACCATTAATAACTGGTGTGTGTATGCACGCACTTATACATCTATATCTGTATCTCTGTGTGTGTAGAAATATAGAATTATATCCAACTAGAGAAGTAAAAGGTGTGGCTCAGCATATATAATATGGTACCCTTTTATCTGTCTTTTAAAAATGGATCCTTTGAGCTGGAGCTACAAAGTAAAAAGAAATAGAAAATGTAAAAAGAGGGAAAAATAAAGGGTATATATTTGTAATTGCTATATTTGCAAACTGGAAGAATCCACCAGGAAGTACTAATATATACTTGGTAGGGGTTGCGGGGGGAGTGGAAAGGATGAAGGGAGAGTGAGCTTTTTCTCTGTAAATGTTTTTATATGTTCATTTTGAACTATGTTGAATATTTTACTTAAAAAGTTTTATGCACTTCAATCCGAAGACTAAAGTGAGAGAGAAAGGAGGGATCCTCTAGCTCTTGCTTGCTTGGGTCGTCCCTGGTTTTATTATTTCTCACGTGCCCTTTCCTAGCCTCCCACTGCTTTGAATCTGGATGGATGTCAGTGGGCATTCTCTGTGGCTGGGATCCCCGCTGGAGGGGTGGGCTCTCCGGCAGCCCACGGGACACTCGGGAATTCCGCCCGGTTGTGGGTTTGACAGGGAGGAAGGGCTGCAGAGCATGCTGGGAGTCTTGTCAGTTTCCTGGGTCCAACCTCCCACGGGGATGAGAGATGCTGTGTTCCTGCTCTGTAACCTTCCTAGATGTAGCTGCAGCGGCTTCCCTTCTTGCTGCCCAGAGCTCAGATTTCATAACCCAAGGGAGATGAAGAGGGTCAGAGAGGAGGTTCTGACGTTAGACCAGAGTAGGCAGGTGGAACGTTAGGTAGGTGGAAAGTTGCCCCTGGTCCTCCTCCGAAAGGGACTGCATAATTCGGTCACTTTTACCCACTTAGCAAATATTTATAGACCAGGGGCTGGGGATTTAGAGATGACTCAGAGGCTGCTGTTCCTGGAGGGGGACACACAGTAAACAAAACGCCCCACAGGTGTTAAACTGTGAACGAGGCATAGCAAGGTGGCTTGAGAATGGAGCTTTAGGGTGGGTCCGGAGGGCCTCCCTGAGGAGGTGATAATGGGACAGAAATCCAAGTAAGAATGAGCCAGGGGTGTGCAAATCAGTGGAAAGGGCATCTTGGGCTGAGGGGACTTCGAATGCAGAGGTCCTGTGTCAGGGACAAGCCAGCAACAGTAAATGAGAATGCGTGAGATGAGGACACAGCTGTCGTCAGGGCTCAGGCTGTGGCAGGAGCCTGGCTTCAAGGGCCTTGCCAGGTACCTTGGGCAAGTCACTTATGCTCTCTGAGCCTCAGTTTTATCTACTATAAAATGGGCATAGTCTTAGTACCTCCCTTGAAGTTGTTGGGAAGGATTAAGTGAGTTAATACATGTGAAGTAGTTAGACCAAACATGGGTACATGTTTGTTATTGACTATGCTTTAAACACCCTTGTATGTCCTGGTCACTCTGAACCATAGCTGAGAGTTGAATCTTGGTCCCACCTCTCCCAGCTACATGACCTTGGGCAAATCATTTTACCTCTCTGAGCCTCAGTACCCCCACCTGGATCCTGAAGTAGTTGTATGGATTCAATAAGGTTATGTACGTATGTATGCGACGCGATTGGCTTGGCATGGGAACGTCAGCTCCCAGAGACCCAGTGGGTCAGGCAGGTCCCTTCCTCCAAGGCCGTTCCCTTGGGAATCTTCCCTGAGAAGAAGGGAGAAGAGCCTCAGGGTAAGATGGCCAGAGGACAGGCTGAGTCCCCAGGGCTGCTGACTCTCCCTGCCTCCCTGAGGACCAAGATGACCCCTGACTTCCTGGGGAGGAATCAGCTTGGTCCCTTTCTGAAAACACCATCCAGAAAGGACCAGAAAGTCAGGCTGAGGATGGTGATAATGAACATAATTCCCCAAGCACCTGCTGAGCATGAGGCTCCACGCTGACGCTCCCTGCATGACACTCTTTTTATAGTAATGATCCCCCAGGAAGGCGGTGTTAGGGCCATTTTACAGGTGAGGAAACTGAGGCTTAGAGAGGTAAACCAGCTTGCCTGCAGTCTCACAGCTAGTAAGTGGAGGAATTGGAGATCACAGAATCCCCAAGTCCACTTTCTTTTTTTACAAAGTTTTTTAATTTTTAGTTTTTGAGGCAGGGTCTCTCTCTCTCACCCAGGCTGGAGTGCAAGGGGCCTGATCAAGCTCACCACAACCTGGAACTCCTCCTGGGCTCCAGCGATCCTCCTGCCTCAGCCTTCCCAGTAGCTACGACTACAGGTGTGCGCCACCACACCAGCTAATTTTAAATTTTTTTGCAGAGACAGGGTCCTGCCATGTTGACCAGGCTAGTCTCAAATTCCTGGCCTCAAAGCGGTCCTCCCACTTCAGCCTCCTGAAAGCAATGGAGTTACGGGCATGAGCCACCATGCCTGGCCCCAAGGCTGCTTTCTTACTGCCAGCATGCTTTCACTGTGTATAGTTGCCATTTGAATTTCTAGGAACCAAGAAGGGGTAGAAAAAGACTGCCCATATTTTTTCTCACCTTCAGGCCTTTGCACAAAAGCTGTTCCTCTGCCTGGAGCACTGTTTTCATTTGATGTACACAATTAGATGTTTACATATGGGAGCCTTTATGGGAGCCTTTCTCTGTCTCCACCCAGGGCAAGGTTAGGCCAGGCACGGTGGCTCACGCCTATAATCCCAGCACTTTGGGAGGCCGAGGCAGGTGGATCATGAGGTCAGGAGTTCAAGACCAGCCTGGCCAAAATGGCGAAATCCCATCTCTACTAAAACTACAAAAATTAGCTGTGCGCGATGACAGAGGCCTGTAATCCCAGCTATTCGGGAGGCTCAGGTAGGAGAATCACTTGAACCTGGGTGGTAGAGGTTGCGGTGAACTGAGATCATGCCACTGTCCTCTAGCCTGGGCGACAGAGTGAATGCTATCTAAAAAAAAAAAAAAAAAAAAAAAACAAGAAAAACAAGAAAAAGCAAACTCAAACCTTTCCTCTTAACCTTGTCTCTCTCTCTCTCTCTCTTTTTTTTTTTTTTTTTTGAGATGAAGTTTCACCTTTGTTGCCCAAGTTGGAGTGCAGCGGCATGATCTCAGCTCACTAAAACCTCCGCCTCTTGGGTTCAAGCAGTTCTCCTGCCTCAGCCTCGTGAGTAGCTGGGATTACAGGCACCTGCCACCATGCCCAGCTAATTTTTGTATTTTTAGTAGAGACGGGGTTTCACCATGTTGGCCAGGCTGGTCTGAAACTCCTGACCTTAAGTGATCCACCCGCCTCTGCCTCCCAAAGTGCTGGGATTACAGGCGTGAGCCACCATGCACACCCTTAACCCTGTCTCTTTATGAAACGAATGCTCATTATTGTTCAGGGATTGGCTTACCTGCTGCTCCCATCCAGAAAGCCATCTCTCCATCCAACCTTTAAGGGTTAAACACCCATCCTCAGGCCTCCTGGAGCTCTTTCCTTCCCTCCACAATAGCAGGCATCACACCGTGTTATACTTGTCAGCTCTGTCACCTGCCACCCCCTCAAAACTTGGAACTCCCTAGAGCAGAAAGAACGTGTCTTGTTCACCTTTGTGTGCACTTGGTGGTTCGGTAAGAACACAAGAGGCTCACGTTAAAGGGGCGCCGTCCCTGGGGACTTTAAAACTCAAGGTGTATTGTTCAGGAACAGGCAGCCAGTGGAAAACCCAGTGCCACCCTCACCAGCTGTCCTCGGCTGCCAGCCCTCCCAGCATCTCCGGTTCCCTCCCTTCAC